TGCCAGTTGTGGATGGGGGGCGGTGCGGCGCGGCGGTTGGCACGAAGGCTGAGAGGGAGAGGTTGGCGCGCGCTGCCCCCTCGGGGACAGAAAACATCCGCCGGAGGCCCGGCCGGGCTGTGCTCCAGTAGTGCCGGGCAGGTGCGCGCGGTGAGGAAGTGAGCGCATTCCGGCCCCCCGGCCACCGGCCCTCCGGTGAGTCACCGCTGACCCCCGCCGCCTTGGCCGGATAGGAGGGATTGGCTGCACTGGCTGCGGTGGGGAGATCTGGGGGACCAGAGCCCCGGAGGGGCAGCTGAACCCGGTGTGTGTCGGGGGGTTCGGCTGCCCCAGGAGCATCGCGAAAGCACCTGAGAGAGTTGAGGGGGAGGGGACCCTGAGGGGTCCAGGTCCTGGTTTCACCCCAGGTGGGAAACACCTAATAGACATCAAATGCAGAGCTTGTGACTGAATGGAGGCAGGCAGGACCAAACCCCTGGAAGAACATCGTGGAGCAGGGAGAAGGCCCCTGAGAACTCGTGTGGAGAGGGCAGGGGCCTGGACAAAAAAGGAGAGTATGCGAGGCCCAGAAAGGAGAAGGAGAAGGGCGAGGCTGCAGAGTCAGAGCATTGGGGACTGGAGGTCTGAAGGACGGAACCGCACCAGTGCAGGCCTTGGCCAGCTAGAGCATGTAGAGCCTGTAGGTAGAAGGAGACTTTCACGTCAGGTAGGAAGGTGGGCATAGCCAACCCTGCGAGATAAGGTCTGTCCAGAGACCTGTGCGTTGGAAGAGTGAAAGGTAGCTTTAGGAAGTAGCAGGAGTTAGGATTATTTGGGTACAGTTGTGGTTAGGTCATTAAAGGTTTTGAATGCCCCTGTGAGGAATTCAGATTTGGCCTTGCAGGTATAATCAAGGGTATAATCTGTGGTCTCTGAGCAGGAAGAGCAGCGAGTGGCTTAAGGCAAGGTTATCTGTGTTTAGCATTACTGCCTGCCATTCAGTTTTAAAATTGCATGACTACGTTTATCAAACAATTTAATTTTATTGAGTTTTTAAAAAGAGAAAAATAGAAAAGTTGAAAAATCTGATTCAGTATTTGATATAAAACCCAAAGTGAGGTTATCAAGTTTAGTTTTGTGGCATTGAGTCTTTTCTTTTGTCTTGCTTTTGTGCCGTTTTTTTTGCTCACTGATTTGACTAAATTCTATGTTAATGCTATGTTGTTAATGTTCTATATGTTCTATAGCATAGCACTTCTAGTTTTCCTCTTCCTCACCTTATGGTCTTTATTTTTAACCTTTTTTTTTTTTTTCCTGTGTAGCCCTTTAATCTGCCCTTTGTAGCCTGAACCAAGTAAAACATTTCTTGTAGTGGAGGCATTGGGCTACAGTATGCAAAGACAAATAACTCAGTTTTACTATGTATGTTAGGTTACTTACTATCTTCTGTGGACACATATGTAGCTGTATAGTTTCTATATTTACTCTGTGGCTGATAGGGATAGAAAGCTAAAGCTGTTTTATTCAGGATAGTATTTCTAATGGCATTTGGTTCTTGTCTCAGAAACTTTAATTCTATCATAATCTTTATAATTTGTTATCTTGAGCCAAAAGCAATAACAAGAATTAAGATCTTTACAATTTATTTTAAAGATCCTCAAATCCTGCAGTCACTTTGGCCCCAACAGGGAAATCTGGGTCAGTTAATTAGAATAAAAAAAAAAAAAAATCCTACTTTGGGCTCTGTTGCTTTCTCCTGTGCTGTTTCAGCCCCAGCCCTACCTTATTCCCAGTGGCTTTTGCCTTCATTCCTTCTTTGCTCTGCTGGGCATCTTTAGAGGAAAACTTCACACCGACTTCCTCTACTATAAATTCTCCCTCCCCTCAACTCTACACTTCTCTTTGCCAACATACACCACTGCTTCTAAACTGATTTTTTTTTTTTTTTTTTAAGCTCACAGCCCTTTCTGGCTCTTATCCATCTTTAACACTCTTGTTGAAATCTTCTCTTTTTCCTCTTTTCTCTTTGAAAGGACCTCAGAGTTTTAAAAGGTTAGGCTTTATTCTGCATGATCCACTTCTGTCTTCTTTCCTCTTCTATCACCTTTTTTTTTATTCGGGATTCTTTGTAAACTCTATTATGCTTGCTTTCACCACGGCTTCAGTCTTCCTTTTGTGATTAAATATTCTTCCTCTAGATACAGCAAAAGATGCTTATGTTTCCATGACTTTTTCTACAAGAAAAAAAATTGAAATTCATATCTTCTCCAGTCTCTTCTTCCTATATTCTGCAACCAGAAGCATGACCTGGTCATTATTGTAAAGTCC